AAGCACACACGCCCCCCCTTCGAGTGAAGGTGGCCCACGATACATAATGCCGTGGCCGTGGCCATGTCTCCCTGTCGAGTGGTTATCTTGTGTGGTGTTTGCCAACTCGGGGTCTTTCGTTGCCGATCAAACCTGCACTCGACGACTTCGTCTGTAAGTCAAGTAACTCCATCGCTCACGTCACGTCCGTGAGGATGAGGTTCACCACCATTCTCGCCGGTCTCCTGGCCGCCCTCACGCGGGTCCAGGCCGCTGCTGTCATCGCACACTTCATGGTAAGACCAACACTCTCTCCCTTTCATTAGTCGGGGGCTTTTGATCCCGTTGCGAGCCTACCACTAACACTCGCAACCAGCTCATCAACACCATGAACTACACCCTAGGTGACTTTGAGGATGACTTCAGACTGGCAAAGGAGGCTCACATCGATGCCTTCGCACTCAACATGGGCTTGACGGACCCCCATACCGCCGACGCCCTGGAAGACGCCTTCACCGCCGCCAAGACCGTCGGCTTCCAGCTCTTCTTCTCCTTTGACTACAACGGTGGCTACGTCGGCGGCAAATCCTGGCCCAAGGAGACCATCCTCGCCATGGGCTACGAGTACTTCAAGCGTGACGAGTACCTCAAGTACGCCGAGAAGCCCGTCGTATCGACGTTCGAGGGCACCGAGAACGCCGAGGACTGGGTCGAGATCAAGGAGAAGACGGGCGCCTTCTTCATCCCGGACTGGTCGTCTGTCGCGCCCGAGAAGGCCCTGGGCTTGGCCGGCGGCGTCGCGGACGGCCTGTTCAGTTGGGACGCCTGGCCCATCGGGAACCGGGACATGACCTCCAAGGGCGACGCTGCCTACGAGTGGGCCTTGAAGGGGAAGCCCTACATGATGCCCGTGTCGCCGTGGTTCTACACCAACCTCCCCGGGTACAACAAGAACTGGGTGTGGCGCGGTGACGATCTCTGGTTCGACCGGTGGGTTCATGTCATGGAGATCATGCCCACGTAAGTCTCCCTCTTCCAGGCCACCCCGTGCGTACTCTCAATGGCTTACCTTCTTGCAGCTTCGTCCAAATCATCTCCTGGAACGACTACGGCGAGTCCCATCACATCGGCCCCCTCCGCTCCAACGCAATGGAAGCCTTCGAGGTCGGCAAGGCCCCCTTCAACTACGCCCTCGGCCACCCCCACGACGGCTGGCGGCACACCCTCCCCTTCCTCATCGACAGTTACAAGGCTGCCGTCCAGCCGGCCATCAGGAACGAGTCGCTCACGACGTGGTACCGCTCCTCGCCGGCCCTCGCCTGCAAGGACGGCGGTACCACGGCCAACACGGCCTCCCAGTCCCAGAATGTCCTGACGGCCGCCGAGGTCGTCAGAGACAAGATCTTCTACTCGGCCCTGCTGACCTCGGCGGCCGAGGTCACCATCTCCGTCGGAGGCCGGTCACAGAAGGGCAACTGGACCTCGACCCCCGAGGGCGGCAAGGGCATGTATCACGGCAGCGCCCCGTTCCTCGGCACCGGCGACGTCGTCGTCTCGATGACAAAGTACGGGATCGAGATCGCCAAGATCGAGGGCAGGCCCGTATCCAACGAGTGCCCCGGCGGCATGACGAACTGGAACGCCTGGGTCGGCGCCAGGGACGCGCTGCACGTCGAGGACCCGAATCCCGCCACCCCCACTCACACCGGCGACGGCCCCAAGAGCACGGCGAGTGGCGATGACGGCTCGTCTGCTTCTTCCTTGTCGCGGGGTAACCTCGTCTATATCATCGCTGCTCTTGCCTGCCTGACCGTTGCTGGCGTGGTGTGATGTGGTCGTCATCACGAAACGGTCCGACGCGCATGTGCGCTACAATACCTCGCTTGTGGGATAGGGTCGCGGCCTGGATACTCATATTTGAGGCGTCATCCAGGCCAGGCGTTGAACTGATCAGGATTCAGGTATGGGGTCGAGAACAGCTCCGTGAGTATTCCCTTTCGAGCTCCTGAATCTATCCAAATGGCTAATAGATTGCCACGATAGAACACACCAGAAGTGCATTTGGGTGCTCGATTTTTTTTTTCTTTTTTCTTCGTTATTGTTTCAACTGATGCGGCTCTTATGACCGTAAGCTTAATGAGGGGCCTCGGGCCCGACGACAGGGAGTTCAACCTCGATGATGCTTGATGATATATTTGGCAATGCTTTTTACTGTACGATATTTATACCCCCAACTAGATGCTCGGATGAGATGGCCCGACGGTTTTAAATTAGCCTTAGAATTATATAGAGAAACAGAATTGCATGTTTGCTTAGAATGCCATGAAAACCACCGTAATTGATCACCCTGTTTTCGGTTGACGGCGCATATCCATGTGTGCGTGAGTCTTATACAATGAGGCGAGGTTCTACTTATTCTGCGTCACGTCTCGACAGGGCCGAAATGGTGAATATCAACATTGGCTTTATGCTAGGCCGTATCATTTCAGACAAAATCCCATGCTACTCCAAGCAAGCCAGCACGATGTGTGGTATCTGGCCACTGAGAAACCTCATGACGAGAAACCGAAGAATGTACACCATTGCGCGTATCTTGGCCCAAGATTTGTAAAGTCCCTTATCCCACCTCTTGATTTGTGCTTGGCAACACACTCTTGCGATGCAGAAGCTCTCTTGCGCTTGTGGTTTTTGAGCAGAGTTGGCGAGTGCACAGCATTTTTAACCCCCCTCGAGACAATGTGCCGGTGTCAGCCTGCCCTCGGTGAGCAGGGTTCACCGAGGTGGGGATCAGCATCCATGTAGCGTGGGGTTCAAGGTTTCGAGCAACGAGCTGCCTTTCCGGGCATACCTAGATAAGCACTGCACCCTCGCACAGCGGGTATCGGATCCCTCATTCTTCAAACGCGGGGGGGGGGAGGGGGGCACCGCGGACGTCATCCGATCCCGCATCCTTCTGCCCATTCCTTAAAACTCACCACCCCCTCTTCGATCTCACGGTCACTCATCCGTGCTCCCACCTCAACTCGCATCGTGAGATCAAGACGCTCATCTACTCGGGCGACAATGCATTGGCTCACCACCGCGCTCATCCCGGCGGCCGCCCTTCTCTGGGAGCCCGTGGCCGGCGACTCAACGCCCAAGTACAACCCTCTCCCGCCCCTCCGCGAGCAGGCCCGCATCCAAGACGCGTGGACGGCGGAGCGCAAGGCGGGCATCCCCGCCCTTCTCAAGAGACACGGCGTCGACGCCTGGGTGGTACGTTGGGACTGCGCCCGCCCAAACGCTTCCGGGACCCGCTGATGCGTTCCCCTCTAGGTCAGCCAGCGCGAGTACGCGGAAGAGACCGTCTTCTGGTCCCTCAAGCCGGCGTCGACCTTCTCCGCCCGCCGTCGCACGACATGCCTCTTCCTCGCCGAGCCTCTCGCCGCTGACGACTCCGAGGGCGCCCTCCCGCGGCAGCCGGGCTGCATCGTCGGCTGGACCACGGACGTCTGGGAGACCCTCAAGGCGCAGCTCGAGGCCGCGGGCCCCGCCACGGTCGCCATCGACGCGCACCCGGAGATCGCCTTCGCCAGCGGCCTGCACGCGGGCGAGTACCAGGCCATGGCGAACGGGCTGGGCGGGGCGTGGGCCTCGCGCATGGTGGTCAAGCCCGAGATCGCCGTCGAGTTCATCGCCACCCAGCCGCGGTCGAAGCTGCCGCGGTACAGGGAGATCATGGAGACGGCGTGGGCCATGATCGCGCGCGGCTTCAGCGAGGCGGTCGTCGTCCCCGGGAAGACGACGACGGGGGACCTGGAGTGGTGGTTCAGGGAGGAGATCCTGGCGCACAACTTCACCACGTGGTTCCAGCCTAGCGTCAGCGTTGTCGACCAGGTGCTGCCCTGGGACGCGGAGACGAAGACGGAGGCGGGCGCGGACGAAGACGCCGGGGGGAGGGTTATCGAGTATGGCGACATGCTACACGTTGATTTCGGGTTGACTGCCATGGGCCTGAACACCGACACCCAGCACCTGGGGTACGTGCTTCGTCCGGGTGAGAAGGACGTCCCTCAGGGCTTGAAGGACGGGTTGGAGAAGGGGAACAAGCTGCAGGACATTGTGAGGAGGAACATTGCTGTCGGGAAGACTGGCAACGAGATGCTCAAGGCTTCCTTGGGGGAGATGCACACGGAGGGTATCCAGGGACGGGTTTATACGCATCCGATCGGAGACTGGGGCCACTCTGCGGGACCTCTTATCGGTAAGTCATGCCATGAGCAAACGCTACCCTCCCCCTATCGAGTCCCATGTGTGTCCTGAGTGAGCTGACCTGTGACAGGTTTGACAAACATGCAAGACTACGTACCGGCATCCGGCGAACTGGTCGCTGTGCGCAACATGTGGTTCAGCGTCGAGCTGCTGGTGGAGCACTATGTCCCCGAGAGGAACCAGACGCTGTGGTTCGCGTTGGAGGAGGATGTTTACTGGGCCGGCGAGGAGAAGGGATGGCAGTGGGTGTACGGGCGGCAGGAGGAATTCCACCTGGTCAAGGCTGCGAAGGAGCACGAGACGATGGAAGAGCTGTAGGATGTGTGCCACAATCATCATAGATTTGGCATGCAATGAAGAGAGAGAGAGGGAGAGAGGGAGAGAGATGATAGAATGCTTGCCGAAACCAAAATGGGGAATCTATCATGAATTTTTGCTTTTAAATGCGCATATGTACAACGTCCCAATCCTGAGCCCCTCGCACCTTGCCATTTTCCCGCTTGATCGGCGGCAGCAGGCTCTTGGTCATCTGTCTGGCGTCTTGCGCCGTGGTCTGGTCCTTTTCGTTTCGCGGCGCCATGATGGAGCTGTGGCCGGGGCGGCGGCGGTTCAGCTGGGGGGATGGATGTCGGACTCGGTGGGGGTCTCGATGATGTAGTTGAATCGCCCCGTTAATGAGGTGGGGGTCTTGTGCTTACAGGGGTGGCCGCCCTAACCGATCGTGGATTCTGTTAGATGCAATTGAGTGAGAACTTCATCTCAACGCTTCACTCATCCCATCCGCAATCTCACTGACACGCACCAGAACAGCCGTTTCGCTGGTTGCTTTTATCGAGAAATTCGCTCGCTTACGCATTGTTGAAACTAGGCTGAAAAGGGTCACATCCGCTGCATCGTTTGTTCCCAGACTTGCTCATCATCTCCCAATAAGGGGCTCACCAAAATGTCCTTGTGAGAACCACCACAACTCAGACTATAGACCGCTCTGCCAATCAACAGCCGCCAAACTTCATAATGTCTTTAACAAGCTCAATACCGCGGGTGCTCCTCCGTACAAGGCCGTCAATGCAACGGCACCAAACCCGCCTGTTCTCCGCCCTTGCCGCCTCACCGTCGTCAAAAACCCAAGTCTACATCTCGACATCGCGCTCCCCTTACACGAACCTCTCGATCGAGCACCACCTCCTCCAGACGACACCCTCCGACTCTACCATCTTGTTCCTCTACACGAACCGACCCAGCATCATCGTCGGCCGCAACCAGAACCCGTGGCTCGAGGTCAACCTCCCCAAGCTCCAATCGCTGGGCCCCAGCAGCGGCGGCGAGGACGTCATCGACCTGGTCCGCCGCCGCAGCGGAGGCGGCGCCGTCTTCCACGATGAGGGCAACGTGAACTACTCCGTCATCTGCCCGCCCGCGAACTTTGACCGCGACACGCACGCCGAGATGGTCGTCCGCGCCCTGCGGTCCTTGGGCGTCGACGGCGCGGCCGTGAACTGCCGGCACGACATCGTCATGACCGTCCCGCCCCTTTCGCCGTCGAAAGCCCCCGCCGAGATGCAGTCCGCGGACGGCTCGGCGTCCAGAGCGACCCCCGCAGCATCGTGCGCCAGGCCGAAGGCCGACGCCGAGAACACCTTCAAGATCTCCGGCTCGGCGTACAAGCTCACGCGCCTGCGCTCGCTCCACCACGGGACCTGTCTCCTGTCGTCCCCAAACCTCCCCCGCATCGGCGGCTTCCTGAGGTCGCCCGCTGAGCCCTTCATCAAGGGCCGCGGCGTCGAGAGCGTGCGCTCGCGGATCCGCAACGTCGGCGTGGACGACACGAGGACGTTCGAGGACGCCGTCGTGAGGGAGTTTGGAAACATGTATGGCGAGTTCGATGTGCGGGCCGAGCTCGGAGACAAGGATGTCCAAGGGGAGGAGAAGATACAGAAGGGGATGGGAGAGCTGGAGGTGAGTTGAGATGCTGCCAATATCTCACTTCGCAGTGGCATCGCCCCGTCTTTTGCGGCCACGACATGTTCGGAGCGGAAGCAGGCGGGAAACTCGACAGACTAATGTGCAACGCAGTCCCGAGAGTGGATCTACGGCCAGACACCTCTTTTCACCTTCTCGACTCACCCCTCGGAAGACGACCCACGAGAACGTCCGCAGCTTCCAGGCAACGTAAGTGAACTGCTCTCTTGCCCTCCTGAAATCACAATCCCTCCCGCCTCCTGCACCCCCGTTCTTCTTCTTCTTCTTCTTCTTCGAACGATCACCTAGCCAGGTGTCTGACCCGTTGCAGTTCAACCTCACATTCGAAGCCCGCCATGGTCTCATCCAAAAGTTCTCACTGTCCGGCCTGCCGTCCGGCGGGGGTGCGAGCAGCCTCTCAGAGACCATGGTAAATGCCCAGATCTGGGAGATTGACGACTGGGTGCGCCGTCTCAGCGCAGGCGGCTTGAACGGAAAGGACGCCTCGACCATTGGAGAATGGCTGAACTCCCTCTTGGGAAAGAAGGAGAACGAGTGAGCGCCAATTAGGTTTGCAAACCACGTCGGAAGATGAATCAGTAGAGCGTGTACGATATGTTTATAGATATCTGGTTGTATATTGGCTGTACAATATGGCACGCCACAGAAGAGCGTTATAGAAGGTTGAAGTATAGACTTGTTTCATGCTCTATGGAATGCGGCCAAGTCCTCCTTGTATTCCTTTCGTAATACCGAGACGTTGTCATTCCCAATAGCATATACCGGTCCTGGTGGCAAGATTTCAAATCATCTATCTGTTGCCCCAAAACGAAGCCATCCCCATCGAGGTCCTATGAAGGATCACAGTGAAATGCGTTGTTAACCGGCTCTAATATGACCCATTCCTCTCCCCGTTGGCCAATATCCCTCCAGGATTCGCCTTAGGCAGTGTACCACAGCCCTTTGTCCCAGCTTGCCTGATGTGACTGCGTGCCCAAGCTTGATGACGGTTATACAAGTACACGGACGTGCTCAATCGTTGGCACCTTTCGAATAGCACATACCTACCTTATGATGTTTCCCGAAAAGCGTTTACGCGGACCATGCCGCGCGCACAGGCAACGGGCTGCTCCTCCTGCTCCCTAGTGCGTCATATTAAAGGCGCGCCCCCCCCCCCGAGCGTCCTCGACGCCCGTGCTGGCTCTCCGTGCTAGCGACCAAGTCTGCACCGTCGCGTGTCCGGACCAAGACACGCGCCGAGGCTGGACGATGGATCGAAGGACGGCGACGGAGGAGCGGGAAAGGCAGGCAGGCAGCAGGCTCAGGCGCCCGCCCGGCGCATGGCCGCACGTCCAAGGCATCCTTCTCTCAAAGACCAAAGACCTCTGGTGCAATCTCCAGGAAGCGTACCTCGCGCGAACCCGTTTCGATGTCCATGATCCCCCCTCCGCAATCTCCCACTGTCCGCCTCCTCCTACTCGCCAGATAATCTTTGCCTCTGGAATGGACCTTCGCACCGCTGGGGACGAAAAAAGCCTTCTTTCCCTCGTCGTCACACGTCGCCTTGCTGTCTGTCGCCCGAGTAAACGAGTCACGGAAGAGGGGGCGCAAGCTGTAGGGATCAGATCACATTCAATAGCAAGTCCAAGACAGACTAGACTACCTACCTACACCACGTACCGTAACAATATACGCCAAATTAACCCGCATGATGTATCCCAGCCACAGGAAAGGATCCTCCGTTTGAAACAGGGCCATCCGGGAAACCCTGTGGCGCGCGGACACCGGGCAAGTGGGTTCTCTCTCTCTCTGTCTCTCTCTCTCTCTCCCACCCAGGGCGCGCGTCATTCTCAGTAAAGCACGCTTCACACTAAGCCCCCCCTTGATACGAACCTTACGCCCGGAGCCACCTCCGGGCCAGCATTGTAGGAGGAGTGTGATGGTGGGTAACCCGTATGCGACGCCAGAGCGCTGTCGATCGCCCAAAAAGAAAAGAGGAAGATCTAATTCTCAACTTTTCCATCTCGAAAGTAGGGAGGGGAAAAGGGGGGGAGGGGGGGGTGAGCGTGACGGGGCATCGACAACTAAGACGACGGAATCGGGCCTTACTGACGGCTAAGGGGAGGGGTAGGCAGACTGCCGAGTGAGACATCTCCAATCAGGGCTCCTCTGCCGACTCCAAGGGTTCGGCGTTGCAGCAGGGTCTGAGTAGTACCGAGCTGCCTCGCCACGGGCTCGAATCACAATTTCCCTGTTTCCTCGTCCATGGATCCTCGTGTTTGCGGTCAATCACGCCTGTACCGGTATCTATCTATCTCTCCGTCTCCATCTCACGTTTCCTCGCCTCTGATCAGCCACAGTGTCTTGCGTATGCGTTCGTATGCCTGTCTCTAGTTTCCTCCCCCCCCGTGGCCGTCTGCCCGTGTAAGCGCGCCACACCAACGTCGTCACACGCTGATGTCAAAGGGGACGACGGCAAGACAAACCCGCCAGAACAAGACAGAGTAGAAAGAAAAAGAGAATGGATAAAAAAAAGAGAGAGAGACGGACCCCGCGGGCCGAGTGCGCCCTACGCGCACGAGGTAGTTGGATCAAAATCCAATCATCAAACAGTGGCGGAGATAACGGACTAAAGGGAAGAATGAACAGCACAGGGACGCCAAGGGCGAACAAGACAGAAGAAAGAAGGTGTGGCTGCAGGACGCGACGGCCAAAGGGAAAGAAAAAAAGAAAACCGGTGCTGTCCTACTTTCGTACTCGTCACTACTCTCGCAAGCGCGTTCCCTTGCCTACCTAGTCCCGTGGGTTCGATGGACAGACACGGATAGAGAGGCATATAAACAGGGAGAGAGAGAGAGAGAGAGAGAGAGGCTGACCAAGCAATAAGGCCGCGCGCCTCCTCCGTGGCACAATGCGAACCAACACAAGACCGCCCGTTCAAGCCCTTAAGCCACCCCCCCTCCAAGCCCCTCAGCTCTTAAGCTCGTGGGCGTCGTCTGGCCGGGTCTGGAATGGCCCTATGAGCGGCCCAGACGCCGAGACGTCCGCAGCGAGGAATGGGAGGTGTAAGGCCAAGAAGGACAGGTTGTGCGGTGGTGTGGCTGCGTATCTCGACGCCCTGCTCGACACTCCCCGCCTCCCGGCCCGCCCCCCTATTTCTTTCTTATCGCCGTCGTGGTCGTCGCCATTGTGCCTTCGCATGCGATTGTAGTGTATGCGTCCTGCCACCACGGCGGCAACCATTGGCACGCACACAAAACATGACCTCAACAAAATAGGGATTCACACCCTCCGTCCCCTGCTCTTCCCCCACTCTCCCCTCTTCCTTGCTGCCTGCCTGTCAGACACGCACAAGCGAAAGGGAAAGGAATGATGATAATCGCATGTGCAGCAGCGTCCCGTTCGGTTGGGATTTCTGCAGTGACGGCGTCATCTGCCTACCCACATACGCAGCGGTCCCCATCCAAAAGCGTCTTGGAGGAGGGGGGGGGATGGAACCCTGATCTCATCTTCACGTGCGCAGGTGTCGGAGGAGGGGGCGGGAAGAAACCTATTGTGAGCCAGACGCTGGTCAGCAAATAGTGCGTGGAACGGTGATATGTTTTCTCAGCCCGGCAAGGGAGAGAGAAAGGGGAGGGGGGGGGGGGGCGAATACAGCATCGTACAGGCAAATAATGATAAAATATGGTCGCCCTCGACCTCCCGGCAAGTCCCACCATACAGATCTTGCACGGCCAAGAGATGCTTTGGGGCCGACTAACCAACCAACCAGCCAACCAGATGGCCACCGGGGGGGGGGGATGGGATGGCGTGCAGGACGAGGGACGCGCCAGATCGCTGACCCAAGCGCGCGACGCTCAGCAGCAGGCTGATCTGATAACTCATTCAAAGCCTGCGGCAGCACCTCCGCCGGGGTTGATTGGAGGGTTGGAGAGGGAGAGGGAGAGGGGAGAGGGGAGATTGGGACAAAGCCACTGTGAGGGCCGCCATCCTGCTGCTCGTCGTCGTCCACCACCACTTTTCCCTGGTTGCTGCCATTCGCTGCGCGGCGAACGCGCGTGTGAGGATGGCAGGTAAGGTGATGGATCGGCCGAGTGTGGGAAGAGGAAAAAGGGAGGGAGGGGGCGGAGGCGTTCAAGATCACGCTCTCTCGTGTCTGAGCCGAGATGACCTGATTCTTCCTGTTATTGTTTGCCTGTCACACCGAACTCTGGCCTTCCACGGCCCCCTGGTTGGTCCATCATTCGTCCCGAATTCAGTCTTTTGAAAAAACTAAAGAGGCGGCTCAGGGCGCAGCGCCAAAGACATGATCCAGCGCGGGTTGCATCGGGTCCCCCGGATGATCACAGAAAACACGGAGCAAAAAAAAGCAGTTGACGGAGGGGAGCAGAGATGGTGTCCGTCCTGTCCACCCCCCCCCCTTCCCCCCGATTTGATTCGTTTAAAGAGGACAGCCACACCTACCGACCGGGTTAGGATGGAGGTGAGGAGGGGGGGGGAGCTGCCCGGTGTGTCAAGCCAATCGCATGTCCGGAACGCTTAGATATACAGATGCGAAAGGCCGAGAGGGAGGGGAGGGGGGCAGGAAGGCCGCGATGGAACGTCTCCTCCGGCCAGTGCCAAATCGGTGTGATTCCTCGTAGAGTTCCCGAAGGGACAGCAGAAAAGCCCGAGATTTGGGGTTGTCGGCCACTCGGTGCCCTCTCTCTCTCTCTCTCTCTCCGCATCTTCCTTCCCCTCCTCCCCCTTTTTTCTTTTTTGGGGGGGAGGAGGAGGAGGAGGAGGAGGAGGAGGAGGGGGAACAGCGCTACACGCCGTAAGTTTCTTACCCCGGATTCACGTCTTTGGCCTTTTGGAGCAGCAAAAAAAAGAAGGCAAGGGACGGGGATGGTGCTTGGGAGGTTACGCAAAGTCGTGAACACGGCGCGCGGCGGAGGAAGGGGATAAACCCTCCAGGTCGAGAAAAGAGACTTCCGAGCCGTCCACCAAAGGTCACCAACGAGTCAGCCACACGGAGCTTTAGTCCGAGGTGATCAGCCCAGCACATTCCACCTCGTCCGCCTGATCCAAAACGAGCTACAAGCACTAGCCTCCTCCTCCTCCTCTTCCTCTTCCTCCTCCTCCCCCCCCCTCCTTCCCATCTCAGACTGCCGGCCGGTCGCGATGAAGGTTGAGGGCTGAAAAGACTGAACAGTACGCGTTTGATGTGCAGACATGGTGGGCCGGCCGTCGCTCTTCGCCGCAGCGCTAGAGGGGGAGCGGCCACTGGACAATGATGGCATGATGAGTAAAAAGGGACCAAGTGACGTTCAGACGCTCCGGGGGAGGGGAGGGGGGGGGACAAGTTTCATGGCTGTCACTAGTCGACGGCTTCCGTCAATTTCCCCAGACGTCTGATAATTTGACACTTTTTTTTCTTTTTCTTTCCCTTCCCCTTCCCAGTCTTTTTTCCCACGAACCTCAAGCCCACATCCGCCAAGTGTGGGGGAGGCGCGCAAGCCGCTTGGTGACAAGAGGAGGCGGGGGGCGGGGGAGAGGAAAAGGGGATGAATTCCTCAA